GCGCTGTTGTTAAATGTCAAGTATAGGTACCATCTAACTGTTGAGAAAGATTTTTTAACATAAAAGTATTTGGCTCGCCCAAGTGGAATTTTCATATATATATATATATTTTTTGAACTTCCAGATGACATTCATATTTAAAATGAAGGCCAAGCATTTTGATTGATATTCTTTGAACCCTTTAAAATTGAATGCAAATTAAATGTTCATGAAAATTTTGTTGGAAATTTTAATGAAATGGCATACTTTAATTTCATCACATGGAGGACCAATAAATTTAAACAGGACTTACCAAAATCACTCACCTTCTGATAACCCTCAGAGCTCTTGATAGGGTCCAGAGGCGGATATGCAATATAATAGGTCTTGTTCTGGCATCTCGTCTACAGTCTCTTTCTCACAGACGCGCCGTCGCATCTCTCTGTCTTTTTTACAAATATTTTATAGCAGTTGCTCCGAGGAGCTGCATTCGCTGGTTCCCAAATTTCATGAGTTCAAGCGCCCTACGAGGCTGGCATCCCTCTCTCACCCTTTCACTGTCGAAACTACTAAATGTAGCCGTCTCTTCTACTCCAATAGCTTCATGTCTCGCACCTCTCGCCTGTGGAACTACATTCCCTATTCCTGTTTCCCTGAGAGCTATAATCTCCAACTATTCAAATGTAATGTCAATAACATCTCCAGTTGCCTTGATCTATCCACTATCCTTTTCATCATCCTTTCCTCTATCACTCCTATCTGAACTTGCTCCAAATCTTCTGTAACCCCTTGCGTCCTAGTGGCTTCTCGCCTTGCTTGGGGTGAAACGCTTAAAAATTTTTTTTTTTTAAATCTGAAGCCCATATAAGATGAAATAAAATATGTTTGAAAAAAAATACTTCCAGGAAGCTATGATATATCTCGGTTTAATCTTAAACGTTACATATTATTGGTAATTAATGTCATCTGCCAACATTTAAGTGGAAAAATATATGAATAGAAACATTGCACCAATCATGCATCTTATTAAAAAGCAGAAAGCATAAACTGACAAATGTCTAATTGTCCAAATATATTTATAATTGATTTTAACCAAAACAAAACAAATTTAATTCATTATGACTGTAGAATTTATTTATCCCAGATGACCAAAACAAATAATTTTCCTACACTAATGTGAAAGTTTATACTGAGATCTGAAGTGCAGTATGTAGGCCAGGTCTGGTTCAAAAGCAGCTGTATGGTTCAAAGGCAGTGATTTTAGAAATTGGCTTGAAAATCCAACGTCAGGGTCACATCACCCGAGGGTTGTCACACAGTGTTAATACCATCTTTGAGTTAAACATGAAATTGCATTTCTTAGGTGTGTATCTTACATAATCTGATTGAAAATACTGGCGGACTGTAAGCGATACTTTCTATGAGAGAGGATGGGGACCATATGAAATCTGACTGCGGACCATACTTGGCCTCCGTGTCGGGCTATAAACATGCCTGCTTTAAATATTACGCCATCTGTACACATCTGTGATTTCGGTATTCTGGTTCCATATTTCGATGTTCCAATTGCACAAAACTGACATGTCAGTAATTAAATTTTTCAGGTATATCTTTCTGATTGCCACCAAAAAAAAAAAATATTTAGGTCTTCCTTAAATCTGGGGTAGTAGGATTTGGGAAAAAACAATGCTTACAATTCAAATTCATCAAGAAAGACGGATACATAAAAGGGTTGACCTGGGTTCACTCCTGACCACCAAGTGAAGAAACCTAGCTCGCGTTTGTAGGCGTGAAAAACTTTGACATAGGAATAAAATGTCGCTTCCGACACTTGGGTTTGAACACGGTTCGCCGGAGATAAAACACAGACTATCCCATTGTGAACATGTAGATCGCGTGATGACAAAGAAAATGTATATATTGGAATTAGCATGCAATCTAATTAACTACTATTTCTACACTATTCTGTATTACTATACAGATCGTTAATCTCTATACTATTTCTCTATACGGATTACTATTAGGCTCACTATTCGCTCGTCACTTTCCAAGCAAGTATTATCGAGCAGTTATTGTTAGTGCGAGTGTTATTCGAATGCGTCTGACGCCAGTCTGGTTCAACGGGGTTACTATAGGTATATCTGCGATTACAAAGTCTCTACTACAATGAGCATTGAAAAAATGACAACGAGTATTTGTTGAGATTAAAAAATGGCAACGAGTGTTCGTTGACATCACAAAAAAAAAACATTTTGTATTACAAGCGGTTATGAAAAAAAACACTCTATTGCAGTTAGTGAACGTGAAGACGGGGTTCGGTTGGTGGTGCTACAACGGACATATATAGAATCGCCTAGAATAACTGAGGAACTAATGAAATGTATATAATGTTAAGTAACTAAAATTTAAGTTTCATTTTATCATTTAATCAGCACTCTCATTTTGTTCCAATCGTATGTTCTGTCCAAACGGTTTCTGGGCTTTCTAAATTCATATCTTTTTTTGTGCAAGACTTCATTACCCGGGCTTAGCTTAATCGTAAACAAAGCAAGATGTTCTGTTATTGCGAGAAGATATTTTTATAGACTACCAATGGTCTACGAAATCTTGTTACTATACACTTTACAAGAATTAGGAATGTTTTAAATATTTTAAAGCATAGTCTGATTTTATTTTTTTCAATTTTTTTTTTCATTGGTTTGTTAAGCAAACTAAGAATTAAATATTACCGTATATATGAAGTAAAAGATAAGTCCTTATTTGTCACGAGTAAAAGTTTTGTGACATTTTGTCATTAAATAAACATAAACGTTTCAAGCTGAAACATGTCAAAAATCGTCTGCTTTTCTTAGACTAAAGAAAAACAGAAACCTCATAAAGTTAACAATAAATCATTTTACTTGAAAACTAAGACAATAGGCCATTCCTTCGTTATTCCTGCTCGTAAAACTATATATATATATATATATATATATATATATATATATATATATATATATATATATATATATATATATATATATCGGAGGCACGGTGACAGTAATACATAACGGTTTGGACTGAGGAATCGAAGAGCCGACTTCGAATTCCAGTCCAATCTGTTACATTGACTTATGTGCTAATAACCTTTACAAAGGTATGAATCCTCCTTCCCCCTCACCATATAGCAGGGCAGACTGGGTTCTTAATCCTTCGATGGTAACTGGTCTAGAAGAAGGACAACCCTGAATTCATAAAATTTGCATAAGGTCTCTGCATTGAGACCTTCAATAAGTGTGGATGGTCATGCAGGAAACCTTCACCACTATAATCAAATCTCATGTGCTGGTGTAGGGTTGCCTATTCCTAGGAAAAGATCTGCTTGACCCTCACACGTCAAACTCGACGTGAGAATCGAATATATATATATATATGTGTTATGGGCACGGGGTTAGAAAGTTTGAATTCCTATCATGTGACCCAGTTTTGAATCTCACTATGGTCGATTTGTCATCGGACTGGAGTGGTCGATCCCAGCATGCGGCACCTTTGGAGAGTGACTGAAAACTATACCACGGGTTGATCCAAATCTTGTAACGGAACCACTGTGGGGGGAAAGCATCGCTAGCACAAGTCATCGTAGCAGAGGACTTGCAATTGTTTGCTTCAAATTGGTGATCACGCTAGATAACACGCTTTTTCCCGGAAACTGTCAGTAAGGTCTGCTCAGCATAGTCGCAGTATAAACCACTCTTGAATAAACGCAAATACGCCTGAAGTTTGGCTAGCCTCCCGAGTAGACGTTTATTCGCGAATACGATTGGTCAGATATACTATGTATTTATGTGTGCGTGTATGTGTATGTGTATGTGTGTGCAATCACGAAATATTGTAAAACGTTATAAGAATGCATTGAATGGAAAAGAGATAAAACAGCTATTTACTTTATTCGGGCTGTTGCTCGTATCTTTATCGCCATACTTACGACGTTTCTGCATTTGGTCTTCCTCCAATCAGATACATTGGGTTTTCGAAATGAACATTTATTTCGTCCACGTGATTAGATTTTTCTAGTTACACGTGTCTTGCCATTTGGCATATCAGAATCGTGAGAATGACAATGAAGGTGAAGGCAAAAGTCCGAACAATGTAAATAGTGTAAATAGTTGATATATATATATATATATATATATAATGAAATTGACAAAGTCCGACAATTATTTTTAGTCATTTTTATGTTTATATATTTTTTGTTATAGATACTAAGATAAATGCTCTGTTTATAATAAACAGAGCATTTACTTAAATATTTTTATCCATGAAAAGAATGTATACACATAAAAATGTCTTAATATATATATATATATATATAAGCGTGAATGCCCATACTTAATAGGCGATCCTTTATTTATTTTCATCACCCGGGCTAAATATTAGTAAATAATAATTCAGAATTATTAATAATGAATAATTCAGATAATTCAGAATTTGAAAGTGCATTCCTTTTGCTGAAGAAGGTTTTTATTTTTTATTTTTGATTAATACGACAGATTTTATCATTTTAATTCTTATTTTTTAGATGCCCTGTTTTTTTTTTTGTTTTTTTTTTATTAAACTTTATATTTATTTATTCTCGTTTACCGGCCTGAATATTCGAGAAGTCAAATCTTCATCGGCATCATTCGACCGTAATCATCATCGAGACAATGGTTTACCTCCATGGTTTTTGAATTCAGAATATGAATTCTTCCAAAGAACCTGCTCTAGATGGAATTCGAACTTGCTTCTCCGATTTCCCAATGCATTACTTCACCATGGCTCAATCCTTATCTTATTACAATCTTATTACAATCTTATGATTTTAGGTACCCTAAAACAAAAAAAAAAAATAGCTTATATTCATGAATATATGTTTATACTCATTTAATGATCAAATTTCAATTTTGATTATCTAGCTACTCTTTGGCAGATTGATACCGCTATCTCTTGTTTCTGAAATGTTTTCTTTTTTTCATTTATGTCGTTAGTGTCGAGATTTTTGAATGCTTGCTTTTATAACCAGTAATTTTCCCATTTATTTTAACGCTTTCCTTTAGTTTCGTTATCTTTTCATTTGACTTTCTTCATTTTTTTTTTCCTTATTTTCTTTTCCTTCATCATTTTTCCTTTCTTTGCTTTCGATCTTTCTTTGTAGTTCATTTTTCTTCTTTTCTTTTTACATTTTTTTTATTATTTTCTTTATTTTCTAATATATATTTCCCATAATTTTTCTTGTCCTTTTCGTTTACTTTGATTTCATTTTGTCCTTCTTTTCTTTTTCTTCATCTTTTCTTTCTTTCATTACTATTTACCTTACTACTTTCACTTTTCTTCCTTCCTTCCTTCCTTCCTTCCTTCCTTCCTTCCTTCCTCTTTTATTCTATTTCTTTTTGATTTCTTTGATTCTTTTATTTATATTTCCATCCAGATATTTTGGGACATGGTCCTTTTCCAACTAATTTTCCATTGTTCTTATCTTTCTTAATTTAATTGATATGTGTGTCTTCACTTTCTTTACAGTTTTCACTTCTTTTCTTTCGATATTTTTATTTTCTTTTATTTAATTTTCGTTTTGCATTTATTGTTCTTTCTTTCTATCTTTCATTCATTCATTCATTCATTCATTCTTACGTAGTGAATTACATTCTTTCTTTCTTTCTTTCTATCTTCATTTTCTAATGTATTTCCTACTCTTTTTGCACTTATAGTGTTTTTCTTTTCTTTGTTCTTTTGTCATCCTTTTTCATTTTTCTCTGTTCTTTTTTCCACGATATTTTCCTTTTCTTTTTCTTTCCTTTTCCATTTTTTTCTTTTTCCTCTTTTCTTAATAATTTTTTTTAATTGTTCTCTCTTTTTTCCCTTGCTTTTATTTATGGTTTTACTTCCATTTTCTTTTATTCTACTTTTCTTTCTGTATCCTTTATTTTCTTTACATTTTTCTTTCAATCTTTATTTCTTCCTCATCTTTGCATCCAGATTTATTGGAAATATTTGGTTTCGTGCCCACAATTTACGTTTCTACTTTTTATATCGTTCTCAAATTCTTTTATCTTCTTTTGTTTTCCCCTTTCTTTTCTACTTTTCCAAGACTCTTTCGTCACTTTTTTCTTTTTTTCCCTCTTTCGTTTTTCTTTCAGTCTCCATCTATCATTTTATTCTTTCGTTTTCTTTTTTTTTCTTTTTATTCTTTCCTTCTTTCTATTTTGTTTTGTTATTCCCCATTGTTTTTGGTATTTGTCTTTCTATTCTCCTTTAGTTTCTTCCTTCAACTTCGTGTTTTTCCCATTTCTTTCTCTTTTTCTTTCCTTCCTTCATTTATTTTTTTTCTTTCGTTTCCGTCATTACATTTATTTTGTTCCTTTACTTTCCCACGTTTTTTAAAATTTTATTTAAAATTTATAACGATGTTTCTCATTTATTCAAATTAGACTGCCTTTCCGCATATCCCAGATCTCCATTCGTTTTTTTTTTCAATATGTGTTTATTCTTTATTTCGCCGTCTACTCTTCCAAGACAATGAAGTAATCATTTATATTTTTGTGTTAGTTTTAATTAAAAATGTCCAAAAAAAAAGAAAAAAAAAACGCATAAAAAAAATGTTTGATTCTCATTTCGAGGAAAAAGTAAGTTAATAATGGCAAGTTATATAATTTTCTATATTTCTTCATCTCTTTCTTTCTCTCGCTAGCTTTCTCTTTGATTTGGAAAGTCTTGGGAACTTTCGGCCAATATTTATCGATTTTTATTTCGGAAATTGGTTCCGGTAAAGGAAATTGGTTTCTTCCATAGATCGTGCGCTAGAATATCAAAATATTCGCGAAAAAAAAAGAAGAAGTAAATCAGAAACCAAAGAAAGAATTGTTAAAATAAATAACAATAAACAAATGGAAGACAATGTCCTAATCTACTTTTTCAGGCTATCAGTCGTGTCTTATTCGGGAAGGACGCTTGATTGAGACTGAAAGCATTTAATTTAAACATATAGACAAATATCGAACTTATTTTGTTTTAAAATTTAAATTTTCCTGGTTTGGATTTTTGCAAATTTTAATTTATTTTATTTAAAAAAATGTTTTGCTTCTTGTTCTGTTATATACAACTTCCCTTCAGCACTTGGGTGATCATCGAATCGACCACTTCCTATACTAAGCTGTAAGTAAAATTTTCTACTTATCACCCACCTTCCTAGTTCTGCGAACCATGCTTCTTAATTAGCTTACTCACTGTTTCCCCATGTCTCTCTTGTGTTTAGTATGTCCTACGGGTATCAAATTCTTCATTCCTCATTACCAGAAATTTCAACTCTCTCTTCGTATTCGGAAGTATTATGGTGGCGTGGGGGTTAAAAGTTGATTTACTCACACCAAAAAGAATAATAAAGGTTGATAATTACGAGGAAACACACTGATAATTTTAACAAAACAAGATAAGGAATTTATTAATGAATTTACGCGCTTGAAGTAGTGTCACTAGCTCGTTTCGGGAAAATAGATCAGAATTCTTAAAGTTTGCAGTTTTAGCGTATTCTCATGAAGAGGAAATTTTCATACACCTGATTAAATGATCGGACACAAAATAATATTTTTAAAAAAATTAGAAGAAAGGTAAGAGAGTTCGTTGCTCACCGAAGGAATATAAGGTTTGAATACATTTAAAAATAGACGAAGATAGATAATTTGAAATACCTAGCTTTCTTGGATTGTTATGTGAAAATTATTTGACGTGCTGCGTGCTTGTTAGAGGCCGACAATATAATTGGTGAGTAATTTCTTACAAGCAACACGTCAACACTGGTGGCGAGGAACTGAAACGAAACCTTTTACAGGTACTATCCTTATTAATATAATTTTTCTCCTCATTTTTTATCAAAATTTTTTTTACTTAGGCTGGTTACATTTTCCTCAGCTCTCTGGATAGATTTTACAAAGGCAAGTTTTTCATTGGGCCAAAACCAATTTCGCATAGCTGTGACACCATTTACCCGGGCAAAAAGAAAAGAAAGGTAAAAGAGAAAGGAAATAAAGGAAAAGAGAGGCGAGACCCAATCGTGGATGATAGAAAAAACACCCACGACCAGAGACGATTGATAATGTTATTTTGATAAATAGCAAATGGCGAAAAAGGTGTCATTACAATGGCAGAAGAATTCTAGGTGGATGGGGGAATCGACTGTGTACTGTCAACGAACTTGTGTTATCGGGGGAAAAAGAAAAGAAAGAAAGGAAAAGAGAGGCGAGACCCAATCGTGTATGATAGAAAAAAGACCCGCGACGAGAGATGATTGATAATGTTATTTTGATAAATAGCAAATGGCGAAAAAGGTGTCATTACAATGGCAGAAGAATTCTAGGTGGATGGGGGAATCGACTGTGTTCTGTCGACGAACTTGTGTTATCGGAGGATAGAAAGGAGCAGCTCAAATTTTTTTAAGTTAGGCTGGTTACATTTTCTTCAGCTCTCTGGATAGTTTTTACAAAGGCAAGTTTTTCATTGGGCTAAAACCAATTTCAAATAGCCTCTCGAATCTCTTTCATTCTTCTCGACTCACCGGTTAATTTCTGTGAAAGGCTCGCGAAATCCTTTCTTTCTTCATCAGATTTCCGAATTTGAAGAGGGTAGGTGAATGGAGTTATCATTATTTCGCACTAACTACAATATAAATTCATGTTTGTTTCTATTGTCCTTAAAAGTTCCTTCTTATTCACATGTTTATCAACGGTACTGTCGTTATTCAAATGTAGAATCACATTTTTGTTGACCCAAGTATCATATTTATCTGTGCAGAGACAAAGAAGTATTCAATGCTATATACGAAGGCTGATAATTTATAACAGTTCAAAGGTCATTTATTTGATTTTAACGATTTCGCTTAAATTTTTCAGCGTGGTTGATCACCGCTCTTCACACCTTCCTATACTTCGTAGCGCTTAGCAATGCTTGTTTACATACTATTCTTCACATATCCTATTCTTCCAAAACAATTACACAAGCTTGTTAGGTAGGTTACTCGCTGTTTCCCAATGTAACCCTTGTAGTAAATATATCAAGTGAGGAACAATTTCGCCAAGCCGTCTTTCCTCATTATGTGTGCATGTATTTTCAACTTTCCCTTTCTTCTTCTAAATATAAGTGGCATTTTTGTTTACCCCTTACTTAAAACTTCCTCGTTACTTGCATACTCCGTTCACAGTATTTTCGCTTACGCTATTTAATGCCCGGTTTACTTATCTGTCTTCTTATATATATATATATATATATATATATATATATATATATATATATCTTTTAGAAATAAAGAAAGTTGATGGACCAGACTTTGGCGAAATTGAATTTGGAAATAAATTTATTTTCTGCCATCTATTTTTTGTTCGATCCCGCTGTTGAAATTGTCGAGTAAGTGGCCATGTTTGAATGCAAATAAATGGCAGAACTGCTAAAAGAAACAGAATTGACAAACTCTTTAATAAGCAATAACAAGAAAAAAATTGAAAAGAACAGGGAAAAATAATATAAAGCAAGCAAACAATATATGCAAATCAATTTCGTAGAAATAAAGCAAACCAACAAAAATACGACAAAAATGTTCGCAAACTAAACATTGGGGTTGATGCATAGCGGCAAATTCAGATAAACGGACGTAGCTTTCTGACTTCAATGCCAAACAGACCGGGGCTGCGTCATATGAAACGGAGAACCGATCTATTTTATTGGCGAGTAAGAAATTTCAAGATGTATTTTCGTACTTCTGCCGATAAGTTGGGCAGTGGAAATATTTTGCAGTGATTCCATGTAAGTAATGAGGAATGTGAATCTATTGTCTTAATGACATGCAGATCTTGATTCCACGAGTTGAAAATTTCACAGCAAGGATACAACATACCACATAGACAGAAATGAATTGTAATATTTCTCTTCGTCCTCCATTCGTAAGAAAGATGTGAGCTTCAGCAAGCATTTTCCTGAAAAAAACTACATTGTAGAACAGATTCCCTAGATGATTCTACCAGGATCATTGTAAGTGTGACTTCTTCAAGTCGATGGCCAATAGTTTTCTATCCTACATATGTTCATAATCTGCACTTACTCCTATTCTATTCATTCAAAAAAGGTCATGCAGCAACACTCATTTTTGAGGGACTACTGGATTTTGTATTGCTTATTTAGTAAAAGAAATATATGGAAATAACGGAAAAGAATCCAATGTCCGATATGTTTAAAACCATGCGAAATATTTATTTATAAACTGGTAATTATTTGAATCTTACAAAAGTTTGACGAAACGGAAAATGTTTACACTGTATTGTAGTTCTGTTACTGTAATTTATAAGACATTACTAATACATATAAATAAATGAAATATAATATATATATATATATATATATATATATATATATATATATATATATATATATATAAAACATAAAACATTGAGCAGCATATAATTTATATACAAAGAAATAATCACGCATAGAATCAATCAGCAATATTATTATATTATTGGCGACATCCATCGCTAGTAATGTATAATATATGCATTAAAATACTGTTAATCCATAGAATGATGTGATCCTCATCTATAAAACTGTTGGCTGTTGTTTCCAGTTTATATTTTTTTAAAATGCAAGTACTTTCGAATAATCCTTTATTCATCCTCAGGCATATTTTTTTTGCTTTTAAAATTAAAACTTGGAGACGAAATAATTGTTTGTAGACCGAAAGATGTTTTTTTTTTTTTTTTTTTTTTTTTGAGTATGTGTTATTATTGACGCTTCAACAAAACTTCACTTTTTTTTTGGCAGGTAGTGTTTCTTATTGTCTGGCACACTTTTTTCTTTATTTTTACATTCAGAATGCTTTAAAAATTTACAAGACAATTGTTTATAATAAAATTCTATTCAATCGGTAGACTCATAAGGATTGAAAACAATGTTTTTGTTTGAGTTTGGGTTCGACCAATTCGTAACCCCCCACTCCAAAAAAAAAAAAAAAAACTAATTAAGACATGCGTGTCCGTCAACCTTAAACAATAATCTTTGTCAATTTCATTTTTCAGTCTTTATGAAGGTCGATACTTGATATATCTCTTACTAGCAACGCCGGGCTCTACTGCTAATTATATATATATATATATATATATATATATATATATATATATATATATATAAACATATATATATAATTAAAAAAATAATACTCAATAACATCAACTGTGAACACAGACACAATGGGCTGACCCTGTTTGGAAAATAAAATAAAAATCTCTCACTAATCTAGAAGCATATATAAAATTCTACACATTCAGTTAAAAGTAAAAGGAAAAGTAAAGATCACCTGATGAAACGCCTGAGCATTATTAAAACTGCTGCGTAATCCAACTGTT